AAAGTTCTTTGAAATTTTTACTCCAATTATATACTCCGTATCTTCCTTTTTTATTTTAATCGAATGTGTAATTATTGTAAAATTGCTGGTAATTGTCTACAAATTTACATCTTAAACCTCTCCCATTTTTAAGGTGACATCTACTTTTTCGTGAAAAAATGAAGAAGAAGATAACATCCACTTTAGTATACAAACAGTTCTTACAAGTTTACAACTTTTTTTCTACCATTTTCTTATCTTTTGTATAAGAAAAAACCAGGAAAATATCATAAATGAAACTAAATAACATGTATGTAACCGGTGAAATGTTATAAGCATAAAACAGACAATTTTCCTTTTTCCATCAACCATTTTTTTTGGGAAGAAATTTGTCTAGTTAACCCAGTTAATTATAAGTTAAATATGTTGACAAAAAACTAAAGTATATTGGTGATAACTAGGCCTGAACAAATTATCCGTTAAATTCGATCTGATTCGCTATTTATTTTGATCCTATCCAAAAAAATCTGGATATCCGTTTTGAATCAAAACAAAACAAATAGTAAAGTTTAGTATCCGTCTAAACCGAAGAAAATTACAAATACTAATTTTAAAAATCTGAATATCCGATCCATATATTAATATAGTAGATTTATAACATGTATTTACATTTTTTACTTTTAAATATATTTAGCGAGTATATGTATAGTAAAAATAGGTAGATACTAACTTTAGTTAAAATATACTTTTTAAATAAAAAAATATATATTTTATTTTTTACCGTATTAATTTTTCACTTTTCATTTTCTTTTTAAATCTATCAAATAAAATTAGACCCATTTTATATATTTATTCATTAATTAGTTTAAATCTTATATTAAAACTTTTATTTTGAAAAACAGATTATGGTGTTTAATTTTTTTTTTTTAAAACAAATACCCGTGAAGATTCGGATATCCGTAATCCCAGATATCCGAAATTTTATGAAATAAAGCAAATTAAAAAATTAGATATTCATAAAAAAAAATCAAATCACAAATAATGTATTTTTCGGATATCCGATTTATGTCCAGGCCTAGTGATAACTAATTTCTTCAAGAAAAAATAAAGTTAATTAAATCAACTGATGCGTGACATGTCACCTCATCAATTCCATCAAAACTTAAGGTTCAATTGGTTTAATAATTTT